AATGAACATTCAATTCACAGGCAACAGCTCTGGTGGACATTCCTGCAGTCATGCCAATTCCACGCTCCCTGAAAAATTGCGACATCTGTGGCATTGTGCTGTGTGATAAAACTGCACATTTTAGAGTGGCCTTTTATTGTGGCCAACCTAAGGCACACCTGTGCAATAATCATGCTGTCTAATCAGCATCTTGATATGCCACACCTGTGAGGTGGATGGATTATCTTGGCAAAGGAGAAGTGCTCACTAACACAGATTTAGACAGATTTGTGAACAATATTTGAGAGAAATAGGCCTTTTGTGTACATAGAAAAAGTCTTAGATCTTTGAGTTCAGCTCACGAAAAATGGGGGCAAAACAAAAGTGTTGCGTTTATAATTTTGTATATATATACAAAATATATATATTTTGGCAAAGCCTTACTCCAGTTTTCAGTGTCACATGATCCTTCAGAAATCATTCTAATATGCTGATTTGGTGCTCAAGAAACATTTCTCATAATTATTATTATCAATGCTGAAAACAGCTGTGCTGCTCAGTATTTTTTTAACCATTATACTTTTTTCAAGATTCTTTGATTAATAGATATTTCAAAAGATTAAATTAAAATAGATTTTATGTAAAAGTATAAAAGTTTTACTGTCACTTTTGGTCGATTTAATGCATTAAATTGCTGAATTAAAGTATTAATTTCTCACCAACAAAAAAGAAAAAGAAAACTAGCATTACCATTCTTAATATCTAAATGCCACGGGGAGATATAGTATGATCTAATGAAAGGACAACAAAAAGGTAATGGGGAAAGAAAATTATGAAATAATGAATTATGATGATGAGTATCATAACCTGCAATGTCAAATGATCCACTTGACTCACTTGTCAAAAAGAACATGCTAAAGTATCCGTTTTTGTTATTCTAGTTTTCTGCACATGTGTACTACAAATGCATTTTATTATGAAAAGTTACAAGCACCAGGTTTTTGATGAGTACAAAGCACTGTCCAGATTCAGCAGCGCTGCCGACCAGCTCTTGCCATATCACAGCGAGCATCATTAGAGGAGAGAGAGAGGAAGAGGACCAGTGGGGGGATGGTGATAGAGCAAGGGATTGAAGAAGGGAGGGCTGAAGACTGTATGTGAGAGAGAACGAGGGAGGGGGGAGGTAACGAAGAACCGAGACACACAGTGTAGCAGGAATCGCCACAGAGCTGCCAAGGGTCTTTCCATGAAAGCGGAAACGCTCTCACACATGCACGGGTGGTGAAAGGTAAGACACACGGGGGCGTTCTCCGTTTTGGATGCTGGGTGTATAATCCTCTCTGCAGACAGAGTGAGCAACAGGGGGAAAGGATTCAGCACTTAAAAAGGATCTCAGCGTCCAGTGATGCATTTTTCACTGGCCACATTTTGTGACGGACAGTTTCGGAGAGACTCTGGGGTGCATGTCTGCTGGAATGAGGTAGAGGGATGCTGGGTATACCTTAATATTTCTCAGATTCACTTTAGTTTGTCACAGACAGTAAATGCATTCAAAGAGCATTACTAAATTAGGTGAATTGAAAACAGTGATTTAAATGTCGTATTTAATGTTCCCTATTTTGTTCCTCCCGAGCTTCTGCTTTTAGACTGTTTTGAAGGTATTCCCTTGCACCTGGGATTTATTTTGTCATGACTGTGTGTGTGTGTGTGTGTGGATCAGATTTTACCTACATTATGGGTTTTAAGAAGGAAAATGGCTCAATAAACACACCAAGTAATGACTTAGTGACAATATAAAAATGCAAAATGGTTTATATAAGATGTAGGGGCTAGAAAATATACATTTGTTCTGTATAAAACCAGTAGAAGTCAATGAAAAGTCTACAGCATGTGTGTGTATGTACAGGCATGCAAGATCATATGCAGCCTGTCAACTAATTAATCTGCCTGTAACACGTTTTTCAGGTGCATATGCAATATTGTGATATGTTTTTGATTTGATGGACAGGTTGTTTTCTGATAATCTGCTGAATTTGAATCAATTAGGCTCTATACCATAGGGCTCAATTACTCCTGCTGATGTCATTTACGATGATCTTCTCCAAAGAGATTTAATTTGATGTGTTTGCTTGTACAAGCATTTATATATAATGCACACACACATACACATACCGAAAAAGAGCTAGAGCTGTCAGCACTAATGGTGGCCTTTAGCAGTGCGTGATAGTGAAAGAGACAGATGGTGGCAGAAGGGTGGCTGAATGACCTTGTCCCCCAGCAGGGCATGTTTTCAGCCTTACATGAATCATTCTGTAAGGGCGAGAACTGGGTAAAAGAACCCCTGTTCCTCTGGAGAAAGAAAGAATGATAAAAGGTCAGAAAGAACAGGCCCAAGGTCTTCAGACTGCAAACCAAAAGAGACCATTGGCGATTTGGCATTTGTACCATTCAGGTTTTGTGTTTGGATGGAGGTGGGGTGGCATTGTCTATTTCGCCAATGGTATTTTCAAATGGTAAGCAGGGCTGCAAAGTATTAGTAAGATGACTCTGATCTGAGCATATGTCTAGTGAGAATCTTCTCAATGCAGCTGCATCATGTGAGGAAGATGGAGGGAGACACAGAGCAGCGTAATCTTTCCATCACACACATCATAATCAGAGCAAAAGGGGCAGAGAACGAGAGAGATACTTCTGGGCCTTTGAGAGAATCAGCATGGATTAGAGGGCTTTCAGAAAACCTCTGTAGTAAGGTTACAGCTGGTCTGGTACAAGCCGTACCAAAATTTCAGATCATGACACCCCTCAATATATCTTCTCTTGTACTGAGGGTTTAAGCCCCTGTGTGTGAAATATACAAAATTCAAAATATCTGTCATTACATTGAAAGTTTAGGGCTATTTTGTTTGAGTTGTAGCCTGGCTAAATGATTTAACCATACACTATGCTTGCAATCAAACTGAAAACCAGCATTTTCAGACTAGGTTAAAGGGAACTTCTTACTTTAGTGCAGAGTATACTATTTCTTGTGATGTCTCTCCGGATGAAAAGCAGTGATAAAGTATTGATTGTTGTTGCCATGGGGATTATTTTCTGAGGGACTCATTTTCGAGTGAAGTGATCATATTTCTACTTACTTCACTCATTTACTGTGAACTGTGCAGACCACCAGAATCTATATCCCCTCTAAAGAGAGATGCTTTTACCTACATTCTATCCTGATTAAACTGAGATGACTAACTTAAGTGTAATTTATTTTAATGCCATGTCTAATGACTATTGTCATATCTTTCATTCTCCCTCTCTCTTCTCTTTCTTTCTCCTTGTTTTTTTAACTGAGTACAATCTATTTTTGTCTCATCTTTTTTCTTTTTTCTTTTTTAAAAAGCAAAATTCCACAATGATGGGGTTTGCTACTTCATAACACAGCAAACCCCATTATGCAAACAGCATTGATATATAAAGTCATTTCAAATTAAATGATCAAATGAGCATAAAATATTATTACCTTCTAATTGTGTCATACATGATTCACCTCATTGATTTAATGTGTCAAATCATTATTGAACAGCTATTTACCGCGCAATCCTTAGAAGGGAACAGTTATAACGTAACGTTAAGGGTTTGCTAAAGTTGGCTTGTGCCATTTGTTTCTAACAGGCTTTTCAGATGAGCCCATATTTTGAGTGACCCGAGAGAAAAGGAGAACCATTTTTCCTGCGTCTCTGTCTGTCTCATGAGCAGCCATGCCTGTTCTCTCACCTACCACAGGTACGTCATTAAGTAGCTGTGATTGTAAATTATACTTGATAATCATATAAAGAACAGTAATTTCTTACTCATTGAAAAAAAGTACATGTAAAGAAGTTTAACATTTTTTTTAAATCGTACCTATTAAAAGCTGTTTTACATGGGAAAATGTTGAGAACATATGATAAATTGAAAATTTGTTTAATCCCTTCTCAAGAAACATGATATTATGAAGTTTTGCTGACAGAATTGTTTAAATATTACTAAAACCTTTTTCAATACTATTGGTAATTAGTTTTTATGTGCTACCACGTTTGCACTAATAGGTGTCAGTAAGTCCTGATGTGTTGGTCAACGCAACATCATTATATTATTTATGTTTCAAAAACGTATACAGATAAGGAATAACTATAGACTTTTTTATAATTTTATCTCGCAGGTTTACATGAGATGCTAGCCCTCGTCACTTCCCAGCTGCATCCAGATGCTAATCATAAAGAGGACATGGTTTTCCTCAGGGAGGTCTTCAGTGAGAGGAGCCTCAGCTATCTTATGAAAGTGCGTCAAGCAAGAGATAATGTCTAACATCCTAATATTGTTTTTGTGAATGATTTTCTATATGTACTGACCTTTCATGCAGATCCATGAGCGACTCAGGCAGTTCCAGCTCCATAACCCAACCCCAGTGCTCCACAGCGCATCCTGCCTGGCCGAAGATGTAAGTGGCATCTCTACCTCAACGGCAAACAATCAAATCTTCATTATATATCTTATTTATGACTTAATACTATAATATATATACATCCATTCAAACGCTCTTCAAAATGTTGGTAAGATTTTTTTTAATGTTTCTGAAATATTTCTCTTTTGCTGACCAAGACTGCATTTACTTTATGAAACAGATCATGGAACAAAAATACAGTAATATTGTGAAATATTATTTCATATTATTTAAAATAACTGATTTCTATTGTAATATATTTTAAAATGTAATTTATTCCTCTAATGGCAAAGTTGAATTTTCAGCAGTCTTTACTCCATTCTTCAGTGTCATGTGAGCCTTCAGATATCATTCGAATATGCTTATTTGGAGCGCAAGAAACATTTCTTATCATTATCAATGTTGAAAACAATTGCACTGACCCCAAGCTTTTGAACGTTAGTGTATATATAAAACAGAAACATATTTTTTAAGGCTAAATGTTTATAATGGAAAATAAAAATAGTGATTAAGTGTGGGGGTTTTTTTTCGCTGTACTAAGAAATGTTTCACATTTTTGATGACATTGGTCTTGTGGTTTAAATTGACAGGTCGCAGAGGAGCTACAGAACGGACCACTGGAAGAAGATGAGAGAGAGCTATTAACACTTTTTACTGCTCCACATGTGAAGGTGCAAAACTCACACTTGTGCCCCTGTCTTTGTTGAGATTTTCTTAACTGTTGATTTTCCTAATTCATGTCTTTGTGGTGAATTTTCTAATAAATCTTCCACTGATGTTAAATTTGACCCTAAAATACATTTTATGATATTTTTAAAAATAAATTCAGATGCACATAAACACTTGCCTCTTTAAATTCTAATAATCTGTCAATTTGAAAGCCGCAGCATCAGTATGTAAATACTATAACAGATATGATGCTGACACAATAATTCCTGTTAAATGAGTATTTAAAAGAAATTTGAAGTAATTAAGCTTAATTAGTTTCAATTTGATAGTGTGCAACATGACAAAATAGAATCAGATGACATTTTACCACCTTCTAATTAGACTTGTTCATTTCCATCATGTGCCCCGGGCATCAGATTCCTCTTCCCTTTTTTTTTATTTCCATTCTCTGTCAACCTATCTACGCCTACATGCTAATTCTCTCTCTCTCTCTCTCTCTCTCTCACACTCTCTCTTATACACATGCACATTCTTTCATCCACAGCACTATTGGGTCATCTTGTCAACTTTTGTTGTGATTATTCTCTCCATGACCCATCAGGCAGTGCTAACAGTACATGACACAGTGGCGCAGAAGAACTTTGAGCCTGTGCTCCCCCCTCTGCCGGATGATCTAGACGATGAACTAGAGGAGGAATCAGTGAAGATTGTGCGTTTGGTGAAGAACAAGGAGCCTCTTGTGAGTTTTAGGATTGAGCTGTTTTGTATTAAAAAATTAATTGACTAATATTCTTAATGTACTGTCCATCATCATTAAGACATGCAAAATATAGGGTTATATTTCATTTCTGCAATCAATTTTGTCTCTTTAGGGTGCGACCATCCGCAGGGATGAAGTAACTGGGGCGGTAGTGGTTGCTAGGATAATGAGGGGCGGGGCTGCAGACCGCAGTGGTGAGTGGCAGCTTGATCCTTCCCCTTGTCACCATGAAATTTTTTTTTTCTCTGCGCAAAGGTTTTTTTTTTTTTTTTTAAACTACAAAATCTCTCTCAGCAGATTTGATATAACATAATCTGTGATGATGCAATCAGGGACCATCCAAGTCAAAAAACTGTTGAATCTGTAAAACCTATGACAGACAACTCAATTCTCAGTAGAGAGATAAAGAGAGGGAATTGAATAACCATTTATTCAAATGTTATGCAAAGAATTTACTGAGAATTTCTCCAGTTAGAGATCCAAAATTACATTTTGAAAATTAGATGTCAGCAACCAGGGGAGACTGTAATCACAGCAGAATCATTATTTTTTAATATTAATAGCATTCTGAGCAGCGGATTTTTCTTATCACAAGCAAAATATTGACTAAAATCCTTGAGATTATGCTTTGCTTTGGGATTACAGATTATACTGGAAATATACAGAGCAGATTTCATGGTTGCCATGGAAATTCTGTTGAAATATGACGTGTACCTTGCAAGCTAAATTGTCCTATTGTATAATTAGTATGCAGTGTTATACGTTCAGAAAAAGTTCCTAGAGACACAGCTGGCAGCTTTATTGATAAGTTTAAAATGTGTTGTACCAGAAAACCTTGTATTAGAGAGTGTTGAATAAAAAGTGCAATATCATCAAGGGGAATAAAATGTTTGATCAGAGCAACTGAGAAAAACCCTCAATTTACTGAATTTACTAAAAATACCAAAGAGTCAGATCAGTGATCTGGAAGCTTTTTCAAGTGAGGAATGGGCCAAGATTCCAGTAGAGAGGTTTCAGAAGCTTGTAAGCAGTTAGATGCAACGTTTTGTGTTAGAAAGAATAAAAGATTGTCTATAAAACAACTTTTGGGGGTAGAATCATTTTGAGAGCCAATTTGACTTTTTTCATTTTTATTAACCATTCATTAACCATTTGAATCAGTCAAATGTGTATAAACTATAGTAATAATGTAGTAAATAGTATAATAGTAAATCTATAATATAATAAACCTATAAAATGCACACACACACACACGTCTGGTTTTATATATATATATATATATATACACACACACACACACAGTACTCTCCACTAATATTGGCACCCTTGCCTCTCATTGAAAGCAAATAATTGCAAACTCAACACAGTTTTATATAAAAAAAACATAGCTGTGATGTGCAGCAGAAAATGCCCATTTCCACCATCAGGGCAATAATTAAGAAATTCCAATCAACTGGAAGTGTTATGAATCAGCCGTGTGTCTATCTTGTCCCAACAATGCGTCAGTAGAGTGGGCAAAAAATCTCCAAGAATAACAGCTGGAAAATTGTAGAAGTTAGTTGGGTTTGGGGTCAGAAAGTCTACAATTCGATGTCACCTACATCACCACAAATTGGAAGGGTTTCAAGAAAAAAGCCTCTACTCTCATCCAAAAACAAAGTCAAGCGTCTTCAGATTGCCAGACTTTACTGGAACTTCAAATGGGATCTGGTTCTATGGTCAGATGAAACCAAAAACGTTTTTCTGCCAGAGGACCTGGACATCTTGTTAGGATACATGGAATCATGGACTAACAAATATCAACAGATATTAAATGAACACCTGATTGCCTCTGCCAGAAAGCTTAAAATGGGTCGTGGTTGGATCTTCCAGCAGGACAATGATCCAAAGCATACATCAAAATCAGCACAAAGATCACAAAATCAATGTATTGCCCTGGCCATCCCAGTCCACTGACTTGAATCCCATAGAAAACCTGTGGAGTGAACTGAAGAGGAAAGTCCACCAGCGTGGACCTCAAAATCTGAAGGATCTGGAGAGATTCGGTATGGAGGAGTGGTCTCAGATCCCTTACCATATATTCTCCAACCTCATCAGCCATTATAGGGGTAGGCTGAGTGCTGTTATCTTGGCAAAGGGAGGCAGCACAAATTATTGACTAAAAGGGTGCCAAATAATTGTAGCACACATATATTGTTTTCAATGAGAGCACAGTTTTTTGTTTTTTTTTTATATTTAGAGCAAAAGTTCAAAAGGTTAAACAATAAAGAAATTTTTTCACTGCCTTCTTTGCTCATATGGCAAGGGTGCCACTATTAGTGGAGGCCACCATATACACAGTATATATATATATATATATATATATATATATATAGTAATTTTTAATAAATATTTTTAATATAAAGTGTATATAGTATAATATTATGAAGATAATTTGTCATGTAAAATATAATATTAAAAGCATATGAAATAGAAGTATTTTCACTATAGGACCCCCCTGTATTTTGAATGCACCATGATGACTGTTCACTGAATTCTTCTTCAGGTCTGGTACATGTTGGAGATGAGTTGAGGGAGGTCAATGGAAATCTAATTATACACAAACGTCCTGAGGAGATCAGCCAGGTTCTGGTGCGTTCACTCTTCCTCTCTTTACAAAATCTGAGTCATTCCCATAAGATTCCTTATCTGAAAAGGCACTTACCTGATTTAGTGTCCTTGATTGTTTATTGGGCTGCAGTCTCAGTCTCAGGGCTCGATCACTCTGAAGATAATCCCTGCCATTAAGGAGGAGGATAGATTCAAGGATAGTAAGGTGAATGTAATCACTTTATTTGAATGTCATAGGACAGAACAGATAGCAGCTGCTTCATAATATGTATGCAATGTTATATGTAATGTTATTTTATTTCTGTCTTTAAGGTCTATTTAAGAGCCCTGTTTGATTACACACCATTTGAAGACAAGGCCACACCCTGTCAGGAGGCAGGACTGCCTTTCACATGTGGGGACATCCTGCAGGTGGTGAGCCAAGATGACCCAACATGGTGGCAGGCCAAAAGAGTGGGAGACAGCAACCTGCGTGCTGGACTCATTCCTTCAAGACAGTTCCAGGAGAGGTACACGACAAAAATCATGTCAACAGTTACCTTTTATTTACCCTAATTATTGCCATATAGACCAGATGTCTCTAATATGCAGTGGTGGTCCAGGAGGGGATATTAAGGGGAGACTGATTCTTCAGTAAATTAGATTTGTTTGGATACATTAATATTAAGTTTTAATTAGTAATAACATTAGTTAATAACATTAGTTTATTTCATAATTTTATGTATATTACAAATGTTTGATGGTGTTTGATGACGTATTAAAATGTTAATTAAACTGGTTTCAGATTGGCTAGTAATAGAGAAGGAATTAAATTCTTGACCAAAATTATGTTGCATTATTTTAATATCCATTCTGATTGGTCATTTTTTAAACAAATCAGCCTCTTCCTGCAGTGTTTAATGGGCTATGACATATTGAAAGAATAAAAAACAACATATTTTTAAATGAGTGCATCAGAGTTATGAGTCATTTCATTTTGAAAAAATTTTGAGGAGACTCAGCCTTGTCTCCCTGTGACAATCCACCACTATAGGTCTTCTGAAACAAAGTGTTTGATCTCTGCTTATTGTAATTATATTTTGAATTTTTGTCCTAAATCTTCAGACGACTGTTGTATAGGGTGAAAATGGGAACACACCAGAGCCCTAAATCACCTAGAGCATCACCATGTAAGTTCTCGGCAGCTACTGGGTAGCTAACAGAAATACAGTACCTACTACTTAACTAAAGACATGGTCTTCTTGTAAATATTTAAACAAACGCTCTGTAAATGCAGAAATTATTTAGCAGACAGCTTAATATTTCACATCGAATAGAATAGAATAGAATAGAATAGAATAGAATAGGCCTATCGGTATAGGATAAACAAAGATGGCCAATGTACAGTGGAGATCAAAATTAGGGAACAATTTACAATTTCCTAAATTTCAAGGTCACTGCTTAGTCCTCTTTGAAGTTATCCTAACAGGAGTAGAAGGGCAGTTTTTTAAGCATATTTCATAAATTAATTGAAACAGTATAAAAAATTAAAACTTTGATCAAAATTAGATTATTACAGATTCCTCCAAGTTATTGGTGTTAATCTGGCACCTGGTGCTAATTTCCTTAATTATATGACAAATCTTATTTATCTGGCAGCATTCCTCTAATTTTCACTGAGATTGCAAGATGGTAGGCCGCTGTAAGGTTACTGAAACCCTGAAACAGCAGGTTGTCCATATGAAGGCCAAATGGATGACCCTTTCAGCCATCGCAAGAGAAGTTGGTTGTTCCAAATCTGTGATTCCTTGAATATTGCAGTTTTAAAATGACACTGATTCATTCAAGTCCCCCAAAAAGGCTGGTCGTCCATGTAAGACAGATGCACGAAAAGACAGGATAATGCAGAGAATCTCAGTGGGGAATTGGTACAACACAGCTGGATTTTCTTTGCTTGCTTTGCTTGTAAGGATCTGTCTCGCCACGTTTAAGAGAAGTCACACCGAAAAGTTCACTCTGCAGTGATGAAGCCACTCATCAGCAGAAAGAATCAAAAGGCTAGACTAACCTTTGCTGAGGAGCTTGTTGTGTGAACAGAGGAGAGCGGGTCCAACGTTCACTTCAGTGGTGCAAACAAGTTTAATTTATTTGGGTCGAATGGGAAACATTTTGTTCGGCATCAGACTGTTGATAGACTGAACCCCAAGTGCGTAAAGAGGTCCGTGAAAAGTGGAGGAGGAAGTGTCATAGTTTGGGGGATTCTGCAGCTGGAGTTGGGCCTCTAATACGGCTACATGGCAGGGTGAATGCAAATATTTATCAGAACCTGCAAGCATCTCCCAATCAGCCTGCAATTTTCATGCAAGACAAAAGAACAATGAAATAATGAAATAGCCGGCCCAGAGTCCTGATCTAAACCCGATCTCTGGAAAATCCTTGGTGACAAAGTTATGGTTAAGAAACCCACTCCAGTTACCGAACTGTGGAAGAGACTGTAAGAAGAGCGGACCAAGATCACACCAGCGCAGTGTGAGAAACTAGTGATGTCCTGCGCCCGCAGATGTGCTGAAGTCATTCAAACCAAGGGCCTCTACACTTCTAATTTCTGACAGCTGTAACCCTCCAACATTTTAGTTGTAATCTTCTATCGTGCTACAGTGCACGTAGCATATCAATCAGGTGATCGCTGCGCCTAATGTCTGCATTTGCCTCTCTTCACTTCATTCTGGTGTAATCTAGAAACGGTCATGCAAAGAACAATCTTCGATAAGTAAAAATGCGCCTAATGTCTGCATTTGCCTCTCTTCACTTCATTCTGGTGTAATCTAGAAACGGTCATGCAAAGAGCAATCTTCGATAAGTAAAAATGTCAACTATTCAAAAAAAAAAAAAAAAATAGTGAGAGAAAAAAATGAGGAGAGAGGGGAAAACATGAGTTAGTCACTAAAATCCACAGCTAGTTTATTTTACTAAAGCTGATGATGGAGTGGGAGTTGTGGAACAGCAAATGGACTGGGCATATGGAGCAGATAAAAACAGCGTCATCATCCCCACAGATTTTAGGTTAGTTTGATTATTAACTTGATAGATGTATAGTGCTTTTTGTGTTTGAACAAACTCTATAGGGCTAGTATATTCGCTTATGGGTTGAGAAATTAATTTTGCGCGTCATGATGTAAGTTTTTCATTTAAACGCATTTTAAGCATTTTGGATTAAAAACTAATTTAACTGTTCAGGGACATTAAGCAGTGGGGCAGAATTCATTTTGGCAAATGCGCGCGTTAAGACGGTTTCTGATACGCGCAGAGCGCACTTGCTCGTACAGCGCCTGACTAAACTAACAGTGTTCACACCAAACGCGAATTTAATTATTCGCGCGAGTAGATTACATACAAAGTCAATGCAAAGACGTGAATAGAGGCCAATTCGCGCCAGGCGACGCGAATGACGTGAAAATGCGCGACACGTTTGCCGCGAACGCGAGATATTCGCCTCAATCGCGTCTTTCGCGCAAGTTCAAAAATTTCAACTTGAGCGGAAAATTCGCCTGACGCGTTCTCGCGCAAGCCAATCAGCGAAGAGCTTATAGGCACGTCTGGTTGAATCAGACAATAGAAGAGAGCATTATTGCACCGTCTGTTATTATATAGGTCTGGAGCATAGAAAACAATTAAAATCAGTTGTAGTAGTTGTATTTTATTAGCATGGCTACAGAGATGCTGCTATCAATAATAAAAATAATAGTAATATCAGTGTATACAGTAGTAAGATGTAACACACACATTAATACAGGATCCTAACGTTATTCATCCTAGTGATGGGAAGTCCGGTTCTTTTCCGCGAACCGGTTCTTTCGGACAGTTCGTTTCAATGAACCGGTTAAAAAAAACGGTTCATCGGTTCTTTTACGCCCTAATGTAATGACGTCATTCGCGATGACGTAATGATATCAAGTCTATCGTCCCAGGCCTGGATGAAAATACACATTCAAATATATAAAGTCAGTAGAACAACAACAATATAACTTTAATTTTTGGGTGAACTATTCCTCCACAGCAGCCTAATATAGCTGCTCTTGCCAGTTGTGTCAATAATGTAAATTAAACATTAGAAAGAAAATCACTCACTGTCCTTGACCGAATCGCTTTTGTAAAATAATGTATATTGAATTGATACAGTGAAGACTATTCAGTCTATTTCTAGTCTATTTATTTTATACAATATATTTCTTATTCAGTGCTTTAAGTGTTTGTAGGTCAATTTCTTTGTTCTATAGTAATGCATGACTGTTTACTTGTCTTCAGTAAGTTTGTTTTTACATAGGCTAGTATTTTTTTATTTTGAGATATTGGAATTGGTAACAAGAATTATGAAACTTTGATTGGATAAAAATCCTATCTTAAGCTATATCATTACTGTGAGGGGGGGGACCCCATTGAGGTCTTAATGTGGCCCTGGCTACAGTGGTTACTGTTCTCTAATTTTAATCACTGTGTTTTCCACAAAATAATGTTTTTTTTGTTTTGTTGTTGTTGTTGAAATTTTCTGGTTATTTTGTAAAATATGTTAGTAGAACAGTGGTATACCAAAGCTAATATTCCTTCAAATTTTGAGTCATGAAGAATAACAATATTTCAGAAAGAAATCAAGTATGTATAGATTGTTCTCTAATTTTGATCTCCGCTGTACATATTTTATCCAGACCTATCACAAATGGCAATACTTGCAAAATTCCATATTCATTGGCTTTTCATACTTATTTATGTTTTAGCAATTGTGTTTGTTTCCTCATTCTGCTTACCTCAGGTGACCAAACTTGTGAAAAAGGTAGGTGAAGGGGGAGTAATTACCTATGAAATAAATAAAAGGTAACACTTTATATTATAGTGTCCTTGTTACACACAGTTAGTATAGTAATATAACAGTAAATGATGAATAATTACTACCCCATTTCCAAAATAAATTTTAAAAATGCAATAAAAACAAGAATCAAAGCAAATGTGATTTGTTCATTCTCTTTAACCTTTATTTAACTGACAAAACTATGAATATAAGAACTAAGAATGTTTTCACTGACCAACTTAATTGTATTTTGTTAATATAAACAAATGTTGATTTTGGTGGCTGAAACACATTCAAAAAATATTGGGACATAGGCAAAATAAAAGCAAAAAGATTATAAAGCAGATTAATTGGTAATATGTGAGAGTATCATGTAGTAGTATTGGGTATAAAAAGCATCCACCAAAGTCTCAGTGTTTGCAAGCAAAGATGGATCATGGCTTACCACTTATTAAACTTACAGAACACAAAACCGATATTTCGAAGAATGTTGGTAAGCAAACAGTTGATGGTAGCCATTAACCAAGTCAATGGCTACCAGCAACTGTTTGGTTATCAATATTCTTTATAATATAATATAATATAATATAATAAATATAATATAATATAATATTCAGTTTTGTTCTGTTTCGATTTAGTTTTCTGTTCCCGTTTGCATTCCTGAGTTTCCTAGTTTGTTCCTATAGTTACTAATAGCCACACACCTGTTTCAGTTTTATTTGATTACATTCCCTTTGTATTTAAGCCCTCAGTTTCCCTCTGTTCCTTGCTGGTTATTGTTTATGTTAGGTGTTGTGCTATGTTTACTCCAGCAATCTCCTGTGTTTCTTCTGTGTGGATTTGTAATTCAAAGACTTTTCGAACTCTACTCATTTGTCATGCGCTTGTATATAGTACCAAAACGTTACAATAATATCATATAATATAATATATTGTAATGTAATATAATATAAAATTCATACAGGTTTGGAACAACTGTCCCTTTAATGAGAGAATTTTAAAACCATTAAAAAATATCATTGCAAGACTGCAAAGAAGTTAGGTCTTAATATTTTATATTTCTAATATGTTATACATAATATTGTGAAAAGATTTAGGGAATCTCAGTCCATATAGGGAAGGTCAGTGTGCGTAACCTTCAAACTCTCAGATGGCACTTCATGAGAAACCATGTGTTAAATATAACCACATGGGCTCAGGAGTACTTTAAAAAAAAACATTGTCACTTAACCAGTCACAGACCAATTCTATGCAGGGATGCTGTCGAGTTCTCTGGAAATGTGAGAATGTGTGCTGTTGTCAGATGAGTTTACGTTTCAGCTTGTTTCAGGGAAAAACAGACATTGCGTTCTCCATGCAAAAAGATGAAAGAGACCATCCAGACTTTAATCAGCGACGGGTGCAAAATCCAACATATGGGGGTACATGAGTGCCCATGGCATGGGTGACTTGCATATGTGTGAAGGTAAACCATTGAGGCTGAGGCATATATTGTACAGAGATTGTACAGAAACATATGCTGCTATCAAAAATTACGTATTTTCCGGGATAAGAGCAAGACAATGCCAGGCCTCATTCTGCACGTGCAATAATAGCTTCGTTTTGTAGTCACCAAGTGGATGTGCTTGACTGGCCTGTCTGCAGTTCAGATTTGTCTTCTATTAAAAATATATAGCGCTTCATGAAGAGGAGAATAAGACAATGATGACCATGAACTGGTGAACAGGTGAAGTCTTCTATCAAGCAAAAATTCCACTTGCAAATCTGCAGCAGTTGGTATCATCAGTTCAGAAACAATTAAAGTGTAACTAAAAGGAAAGGTGACATAACAGTTGTAAACAGGCCTCTGTCCCAACTTTTTTCGGAGTATGTTGCAGCCATTAAATTCATAATTTGTTTATATTATAAAATACAATTAGGATGGTGAGTGAAAACATTGAACATTTTTTCTTTGAACTTTTGTCAGTTAAATAAAGATTAAAAAGAATTAACAAAATGCAGATTCTAGTTTTTATTGCATTTTACAAAATGTCCCAACTTTTAAGGAAATGGGGCTGTACACGCAACTAACCATAAACCCTAACCCTATAGTAAATATGTGTTGTTAATTAATATTACTCCGTACTTATTTGTACTGTATCACGGACACCTTAAAATAAAGTGTAACCTAATGAAATCAAAATATTTGTAAATTATTTCCAAATTAATTCATAAATCTGTCAAATGGGTTTTTCAGGTATTTGTTACTAATTATATTCATGTAATAGCCCTTAAATTTTGTAACTACAAGACTCTGAATACCCAGTACAGATGCTGAAATCCCTGCGCTCAGTGCTTGCTGCTTTATTTTGCGGTTGTGGTTCTCTTGGCCTCTCCAATAACTCTTTCCTATGAAATGTCCTTGTAAAGTGTGATCCCCACTGATTCTCCTCTCCTGCCTGTACCCTTTCATCTCTTGTGTTCCACCTTACACACTGAATGCACTCCACATGGCTTTGGCTTTGGATGATGCTTTTTTTGTGTGGTGTGGTGCGCTTTATATATCATCTGGTTTTGTTGTGAGTTCTTCGGTACACTTCAGAACAGAGCTCATGCGCTTGGCACATCCTAAGACCCCAGCCATTAGTCACATCTTGAGCCCACTGCTCTGCTGCCGGCTTCGGACAACTCCCTCTTTGAGTTTTAGTCTCAGTGGATTTTAGTGTGTGCTTTTTGCTAAGAGGAAGATTGCCAGATTGATGCACTTGATGCTTAAAGGGACAGTTCACCTAAAAATGAAAATTCTGTAATTTACTCAGTCTCATGTTGTTCAGTTGAGCCTGTATGACTTTCTTACTTCTGTTAAACACAAAAAGAGAAAAACTGAATTATATGCTAATATGCTAGCATTTTTTTCCTTATAATGAAAGTGAATGACGACCTGTGCTAACATATACAAGCATTCTGAAGTCATACAGTAGATTTGTGCAAGGAATAGACATTGAGATTAATATAATCTCAATGTAGACTTCTGCATATTAAAATTTCAATGATTTGTCATGTTATATTCACATAAACCTGACACATTGGCACCATATTTGCATTATTTTTTCTTGACAGCCCCAGTCCCTATTCATCTTTCATTTTATGGAGAAACTGGAAAACTGCCAGCATTTATCTTTTAGTTTTCCATGGAAGAAAGGTGTGGAAGCGCATTTCCACTACATAAGAAAAAATCAAAAGTTAGAATTATGAGATAAAAAGTCAAAATTATGAGATAAAAAGTCATAATAATGACATAATTTGAAATTATGGGCATAAAAATCATTAATATGACAAAAGTAGAAAATAAAACAAGGTTGAAATTATGAGATAAAAAGTCATAATTATGACAAAATATTTCGACTTTTTGTCATAATTTTGATTTATATTAATTACTTATTATCTCAGTTATGACTTTGTATCTCTCACAATTTCAATTTTTATATCATAATTATATATATATATATATATATATATATATATATATATAATCTCATAATAGCAAAGTATGAATTTTTTTCCTTATGTAGTGGAAATGGGCTTTCACAGGCAAGGAACTTCTGCGGGTATGAAACTCTTATTTTTGGAGAACTTTTCCTCAGGTGCACTGCTATAGCCAGGGAACTATTGCTTTGGGCTAATGGCTCACACAAGCTTTGGCATGGTTGCTAGCTCGTGATGGTCTCTATAGAACTATGCTGGATGTGTGATGGTCTAACATTAGTTGTAGTTTCTCCAAAGTGTAAGGCGGTGGCACCGTCCTGTGGTCAGGCCTTTTCCTGGGAGTTTTACTCAGGTACCATGTTTCTTTCATACTTGTAAGGTGAATAGATTCATTGCTGCTTTAACGTATTCACTGCATATTAAATTTTACAAAGCAGATGAACAGCATGTTGCTATTTTCCCCTGAGATGCAGCTGTTACATAGAATCAGCAGCAGAGTGAGAGACATGATATTTTTAGTCTGGAGGATGCACCTCGTTCCATCCTTGTCTTTTTGTCTAATCTTTTTGTTCGTTTAATTTAGTCATGTCTATTTTTGATCTCTATATTTTTAAATGTTCTTTACCTATGTTGATCTTTTGGAAAAATCTTTATGCTCTCACAGCTGGTCTAAGGAGAAGCTTCAGACTGAGCCGCAAGGATCACCAGGGTTCGACCAAAGAGTCTCATCCAGCAGAGTCCACAGAGAGTGAGTTTCTCATATATGAAGAGGTGACACTATATCAGATGAGACCCCAAGACAAACCAAGACTTGTGGTGCTGATAGGTAAGATTCAAGGGATGTCAGGACTTTCTAAATGAGTCATTCTTTTATTGGCCTTCAGAATCTCATCTCCTTTTTTTCTCTCCAGGATCTCTTGGTGCTCGAATCAATGAGCTGAAGCAGAAGGTGATTGCTGAGAATCCTCATCGATATGGTGTTGCTGTGCCACGTGAGTTTACTTTTTCCATTAGTCCAACATTAGAGACTGTGACTGTTGAGGTCCTGGCTGATACTGTACATCAAGAAGCTGAATCAAAGTAGAACCTACTTTTGCTTCAGATTGAAGATCTGAAGTTAAAGCTTCTAATTTTTAAAATTACATATCATGTATTGTAAAATCACATGTGACATTAACTGAAATGCTATTATAATTTGTGTAATAATCATTTTCTAACAGACACAACCAGACCCAGGAAGAGCCACGAGAAAGAAAGTGTAGAATACCACTTCATCTCCAAGCAAGCCTTTGAGGCTGACATCCAATCGAACAAGTATGTTATATCAAACGATTTTAATATCTATGTTGGGTGCACTTTTGGTCAATATTATAACACATCTGTGTGGCATATTCACCCAAAAACTTAAATTTGTTGGCTACCATCTGTTGTAACTGCATGGCAATTTTCTTCTTATGTGTTCTGAGGAAGAAAAAGTCATACAGGTTCGGAACAACATGAGGGTGTGTAAATGATGACAGAGTTTTCATTTTTGGGTGAATTATCCCTTTAATAGTGTTACCAATTTTAATTTTACTGTTGTTTGTATTGACACAAAACATATATTGTGTATACACAGGTTTATTGAATATGGTGAATATAAGAATAACCAATATGGGACAAGTCTGGAGTCAATCCGGAGTGTCCTGGCGAGAAATAAAGTGTGTCTAGTAGATGTTCAACCTGAGGTAAATAGAACATTTTGCCATTGTAATTATTGTCAGTATCGGCTTTTCTCTGTATTTCTGATTCTGAGCTCTGGTCATATGTGATGTGAAGTAATACATAATTCATTTAAATAAATAAGTAATTGCACTGAATTTGTGAGGACAAACACTGACTCAGGTTTACTCACTGTGTCAAAGCTGGTTTCTGCCAGGCAAACCATCGAGTGTGAAAGTCTCTTGTATTGATATCTTAAACTTATGCTGGCTGTGTATATTTAGTCAAATGTAAATGGGAATGATGTAAAATATCTTACTGTATATTTGCAAACAATTTCAGTGTTTATACTTGTGTAAAATAAAATTTCGTATTTGGTCACAGCCTGTCATAATTTAGTTGTAATTGTCAAAGTTTTTGTATCAAACTGATGACTATGATGTCTCTGTAGTTTATTAGACAAATTCTACATTATAGTGAAAGAGCATAAGGCATGTTAACATCTTTATGGCCATATAGTACTGTTCAAAATGTTATGAATGTGTACCCTTTTAGAATATATGGAGTATTTTTTAATAAATTGTTGTAATAAAAATTACAGACTATCTCTCTTTTAGATTTCTGTTTTATTAGAGAGAACATAAAAACATTAAATATTATTTAAATATTTAATATTTATATTATATATACACACATATTGCTTCTTTAACTTTGAATGTTTGAGCCAACAAACCTTGAGCATTACATCATGTGCTCTAGGTGAATTTTCAGTGAGTGGTAATACAGCCACCCAGCAGCAGATGGTAGTAACAGGCTTTTTAGTTCTATTTTTTTTAAACCTCTTAAAACAAAACAGGCAGAGGATAAGGAGGTAAAAATAACCATTTTACATATCCTTTTTTAACTGTTGAAGAAGTTTTATTTTTTCAAAGATACCAAATTATCTTCTGTCCATGAATAAGGGATTGTTCTATCTGAACTGACATTAGCGAGATCATATAAAACCAACATTTATAAGCATAAAATACCATTTAGACTTCATGTCTAAAGTTTTGGGCTCATGGACTGCAGCACGTTCTCATCTGATTTCACTGGTTGATTCTCTAAATACTGATATTCTTGCAATAGCTCTGTAAATATTGCCACACTATGCAAAACTGCCCACATTTCAGCTGGTCGAAGTCAGGTCTACTTCAGGTCACTGAGGAAGTGACACATAAAAACCTTAGACCGTAACACAATTGTGTGTCATACTCAACAATCATATCTGTGCACAGTCCAATTAATGCAAGTAAAAAAAAAAAGTTTTAATGGAAAAAGTCATACAGACAAATGAAGAAATCCTTGCAAGTTCTGTCTTGTTCTGTACGCTTTCCTTCGATACATGTTTGCATGACTGCTGATATCAAGCAAACACACCCTGCATTGTTTAACCGACCTCAGGAAATCATCCATAATCAACAGCACTCACTGTGAAAACAATAATCATATGTCAAAATTCAATCCAATACTCCAAATGTTAAATAAAACACCTAACATTGTACATATATTGTCCTGCTTATGTTAAACTGCCTACTTTCCTTGGTTTTAAATTATAGGGGTAAATGGATTCTCACTGATCATCATCATGGACCAATCATCATTAACAGTGTAAACAGAATGTGATTTGATTAGTGTATTTTGTAGCATTGTGCTGTTGGCCAGCTGTAGCTACATTGATTGTGCAGGTTGTCCGTACGCTTCCTGTTTTGCAAGTGTTGTTATTGGAACAATAGATGCTTTAAATTTCCACTCTTTAGATACAGACTAAAGCGTTTAGAATAGACTTCAGCAAAACAAACTCAGACATCTCTCAAAAGGAATAAAATACCTTTTTAAAAGGTAAAACTATATTATTTTGAATATGCTGACAGAGCACCCAAATTTGAAGCACTTTCACAAATTTATTGTAATATATTTGTTGCTTAAATGGGTGCTGCTTCTAATTTCATTTTATTAGAGAATTATTATTAAACAATGCATTTTACTATATGAGTATGCGTTGTCTTTTCTGGCTCCTGAACTTATCCAAAGCATATACATTTATCTATAACAAAAAAATATTCACTGTGCAATAAATATTTTCTACAGATGTACAAATTGCCTTCTAAAACCATATGATATATGACTTACATACAAAGTATATAAAACTTACATACAAGTTTTAGAAGTGCCCTTACCTATATCATCATCATGAAATATGGTTAAAGTATTTTACTCTGTTTTCTGATGATCAAAAATGCATTATACATTTTGTTAAATGTTGTGATATGGATCTTGCTAATGTAGGTCACATTACTCAATAGGCTGCTGTCATTGCAACATATGGCATTTTGACCATCTACTAACACCAATAGAGCATGACAGCTTCATAAATGGTTAACACGCACAAATGACAGCTTGCAATTGGTATGAATACTCTGTGGCAATGCCTTGATCTTGCAATTATGAACAATGTTCCTACTCATTTTGACCAATGATCTTCCATGCTTTCATGAAGACATGCATGATTATTTTTTTAATAATTTCAAAGTGACTGCACTCACATAGAGCAATTTCACTAGGCTATAAATACATACACCAATAACCTTTTTCCCCATTTCCCTGGCCTGATATTTTTCCATTTATGAAGATTTCGACATGTTTAGATAATAGTATTCTACAAAAGTGTCTGTAAGTGTTTAAAGGACAGCGTAAACCCGATTGAAGGCTGAGCGAGTGGAAATGGGGCATGGCACAGGCTGGTTTCAAACCTGCTTCTCCATGAACTATTTTTATAATGTGAACACATGAACTGCCCACTGTGCCACAACTCAAAAACCAGTTTAGTTTTTAAGGTTGCCATAAGTAACCTTAGACCACATGTGACTCAAACTGACAATCTCATTATAACTGAATAGTTAAAATCTTACAGTGACACACTCACAAGCCTCTGTATTATTGATAGAGAAAAATAAATGCAGAAAAGAAATTACTCTTATCCACAAATTACGCGTCACAGCTTCGTCAGAGGTCTACGAGCTATCTAATTTTGGTTGACGGTTTTCTCCCGCCTCTCTCTCAGCTCACTGCTATTCTGATCTGCCTGCACGCGCGCCCCGACTGATTCTTTCCTGCGTACTGATTGCTCGAGCGCCTCGCTCTCGTGCTCTCCCATTGGCTGTCAGTATGGGTTCCTGTGAGCCAATGCGCGCAGAGGCTTCATGTACCGGCTGAACGCTCTTGACTTTTTCAGTACAGCTGGTCCACGAAGGGGGCGTGCTGCAGCAAACGACGGGTCGTCAGTGGGTTTTTAGTTATGGTGGTCGACACATTGTTAAATTAAGTTTAAAAGCACGTAGGGAAAAAAACTGTACTTGTTCAAACTATACCAGAGCAAACTGTGTCTGCCGTTTTGGAAACAAACCTTGGGTTTCAATGAATTGCACCAGGTAAGAATACAGAGTGCGTCACAGTGCATCGAGGGGGTTTATCGCTGCTCACTGTGTGCTGGAAAAGTGTAAAGATGATCTCTGAATATGACTAATGATTTAGATTCAATTTAAAACAATATTGGCTTGTTTAAAGTATTATTTGAACATTGACAATGTCAAGCTGTTTTCTATTTATGTTACTAGTACTGAATTTTTGACAGCTATTTAGTCCAACAGCGAAAATTGGTTGATATTTAGTTCCATTGTTTTTGCTATTTTTTGCCAATGAATTCTATGGAGGTCTGTGGTTTAAATCAGCTATTTTACATATTCCAGTTTTACTAGTAACTGTTCTAGCATCTGTAACTGGTACTTATTCCGTAGTTACTAGTCTCTGTTATAGCTTTACTATTATTTGTGTATTAGATAATAGTTCCTATTTTTCAGACACTGCTATCCATCCCAAATGTTAAGTAATATTGCTTATCTCACTAGTTACAATATAAATTTTACTTGTCGTACTGTATGTAATGACTAGCCAGTCATTACATATATACAGACTGCTTACTTTATAGGTAAAATCATAATAGTAGTACTACAAAAAAAGAAAAAAAAAAATACTAGTAACAATTGAAATATGCAGTAGTGTCTAATAAGGTGAATTTAAGTGCTAAAAAGACTGGAATAGATATTTTATAATTTTATATTTTATAATTTGTTGCTTTTAGATTTATCCCAATATAATATGTAAGTATAAATATTATTTATAAAAACTGATAATTATTATAATTTGAAAAGCTTAAACCACCAGCTATGGCACTATAATTGTACTGTAAAATAGCTCAAACTGGCTGCAACTATAGTTTTGTTAACCACATTAATCTCTAAATTCCGAGGAAAGTCTTTCATGTCTCCTGCTTAATTGGTCACTGTAGTATTCTTCATTATTGTCTTCATGACAGGGTTCTACAGATACTGAACCCCAGGCCAATGCCAAGTCCAATTATGCCTGTGGATGTGGCAATGAGAATTTGTCTGGCTCACTCGCCGCCTATTCGCAGTTTCCTCAGTTTATATGAAGACTGCAAGTCCAGGAGCCTAGTCAACCAATACAAACCTCTGAGATCCTGCATCAGCTCTAAGACAGAAGTGGACACTGATAACCTAGGATGGAAAAGTCCCGAGACCAAAGCTAAAAAGAAAGTGGTTTTTGCTGACTCCAAAGGCATGTCTCTGACAGCAGTCCATGTGTTCAAGGAATTTGAAGAAGACCCCATGTTAGACCTGCAGTTTGAATTATCAGACCTGGAGGACGCCATTGTGGGCCTGAAAGCAGAGAAGGAGAAGAATTTGATTTTGGATTTCCCTCAGCCTGCTGCAGACTATTTGCACTTCCGGAACCATCTAAAGAAGAATCTGGTATGCTTGGAAAACTGTATAATTCAAGAGAGATCACTCACTGGCACAGTCAAAGTAAGCAATATAAGCTTTGAGAAAATGGTCTATGTGCGAATAACATTTGAGTCATGGAAAAGCTATGTTGACATTCCTTGTACATACATGAATAATGTTTATGGATGTGAGGACGTTGACACCTTCTCGTTTTTCATTGACCTTCCAAGTTTTGTGCCCCCACACGAGCAGGTGGAGTTCTGCATATCCTACAAAACTCACGATACCACATACTGGGACAATAATGATGGGAAAAATTACAAGCTGGTACCTGCAGAGAACAACCCCAGGCAGACCAGTTTAACCCAAAAGATGACAACAGATTTCAAGAATCAAGGCAAACGGCCAGAGATGGAATTTGATCAATTCGGGAGCCCAAGAACATCTAGTGGATTCTTCCCCGAGTGGCAGAGTTGGGGTCATATTGAGAACAACACCCCTTACTGGTGACAGTTCAAGACCCCCGATAAATTTGAAATAAAGGCTGTAACAAGGACAAATGCAAATGGTTTCAGAATTGACTTTTGAAAAGTCTGAAGAGTAAAAAATTAGCAA